GGAAATGAAGCCAAAGTAATATTTTATTTATTACATTGATGGGTTACTAGGTACACAGGGTTCATTTTATCATGCTTCTTTCTACTTTATGTGGACACTGAATATATTCTTTTGGTGTAAGAAGTATTTTGTGGTTGGGAAGGAAGGAGGAAAAGAAAGGAGAGAGGAGGAAATCAAAATAAGAAACAGAGCTAGGAAAATGAAGTTGTTGATCCAGAGAACCAAAGCATTAAGCGTGGGAGCTGGGGCCAGATATCCAGAGCAATCTGCTCCCTGTCTGGCATCTTCCATCACACTGTACTGCATCATGACCCAAGTCTGGGTCAAGTTAAGCTACAATTTTCTCTGTCCAACTACCATCTAATTGCCCAGAGTTGTACCAAATCAAATTACCAGTCAAGTTGGAAATTTCTCAAGAGACATTATTAACACCACTCAGAGAACTAAACAAAATCGGAAAGCAACTTACTTATACTCAAAAGAATTCTGAGTTTATAAAAGAAAGTAAAGATTTTAGAAAATCTTTACCCAAGAAACAAGAGCACCAGCAAGCAGAAGGAAGTTTTAGCATTTACCAATGTTCAAAGTTAACCCAAGTCAAATCTCTGAAAATAACCATGAAAAGCAAAGATTTGCTGCACAGTATTTTCATTTATTTAATTCATCCAAAGTCTGTTGAGCCCCAACAATGTGGCAGTGGTAGTCTGTGGCTGATAACATGACGGTGGAAGGGACACCAACAGGGAGTCAGGCTACCTGGACACAATCATGGCTTCACTGGGAAACTGCTGAGTAACCTGATATAAATTACACACTCTCTCCATCCTTCAGTTTGCTCATCTAAATGAGGGTGTTACTAAAATCCCTTACTTGTAAGTCTATGACAGGAGATTGGTCCTTCTACATCTGAGAGATTTATAAATAATTATAAAATCAAAAACCCACTTCAGAACATCAACTTTCCCATTACTTTGCCATGTGTACTCTACCTGAATATTGTAAAAGATAAGTAAGTGTGTTTAAAACTCAGATTCCTAGGGAGCACCTGGGTGGCTCAGTCGGCTAAGCGTCTGCCTTCAGCTCAGGTCCCGATCGCAGGGTCCTGGGATTGGCCAGTGTCAGGCTCCCTGCTCAGTGGGGACTCTGCTTCTCCCTCTCCCTCTGCCCCGCCCTCCTCCCTCTCTCTCAAATAAATAAAATCTTTTTAAAAAAAATGTTTTTTAAAGATTTTATTTCTTTATTTAAGGGAGAGAGACAGAGAGAGCATGAGCTGGGGGAGAGGGACAAACAGACTCCCCTCTGAGCAGGGAGCCCGATGTGGGGCTCGATCCCAGGACCCCAGGATCATGACCTGAGCTAAAGTCAGATGCTTAACTGACTGAGCCACCCAGGTGCCCCTTAAAATTTTTTAAAATAAAAAATAAAATAAGACTCCGATTCCCAGGACCCAGTTCAGACCTATGAAACAAAAATATCTTGGTGAGAGGGATCCTTTGAGGATCAATATTTTTCTAAAACACCCCTAAGTGATCTGATGTTCAGCCAGGTTCAAATATCATCCCTATATTGGGCAATTCAATGACCCAGGATTTTTCAGATCCAAGAATATAAAAAAGGTTAACAGGGTCTGGGTGACTTAATGAATAATTAAGGTTTTCTCTTAAATAGATTTTTAATGTGACCAATACATTTTTCACATACACCTCCAATCCAAAATGTGAATGTGAAGGATGAAAAACTAAACCAGAAAGTCTGTTCCACGCAATAAATAAATCATGCCTTGGGAAAGTACAACTTCTCACAATTAATGACACAGAAAACATGAAAAGAAAATGAAAAGGATTCTGAGAATGTAGGCTTAAGAAACCCACCCATCATTACTCATATGTCAGAAGGTGACCATCCTAAATGGCATTTAAAAGTCGCAACAACATCATGGACATAATCATCCCACTTATTACTCGGAAGTTTACCCGAAAGCTCCATTTCTCTAGATTTGGCTTTTTAAATGTCAGCATCTGAATCAACACAACACAGTCCAAGCAAAAACTTCACACTAAAAACATCTGACATGAGTAAGAAACAACAAACAAGAGAAAGAAAACAAAAAGGAAAGCACTATTTGCATAACTTTTAATGTAAGTTTCTGTTGTAGACCTCTAAAAAAAGGTTTGGTTTTAGAGTTTACAACCTTGAAGAAACCATTACAGAAGAGGACTTCCATAGCAAATGTTTTGAATTGACCTTGGTTTCAAGGTTTAATCTTTACTGACACCTTGAGGATAGTGTCCTGCAATATTGGTTGTATTGGTTGTAGCCAATGGCTGGTCCACAGCACTGCTAATAGAGAACTAAGTAAATAACCCATGGTTGAAACGCAACCAGGATTTAGTCAAATGAACTAGGTTTAAATGATTCCAGGTCCTAGACCCATACTAAGCCATGCCTTGTTTCTAATAGATCGAACAGATGCAATATCCCCTTTATAGCAATTAACTAATATAGCAAATAACATGAACACATGCATACCCCACACACAAATTTGTCATAAGTAAGCAAGATATATTTCCAATATAGAAACCAAATGGCTAGTAGTCATATCTCTGAAGAACTACAACAATCGACAACTTTGTATCTAAATTAAACCAAAAAAGAGTCCCCTCCTACCACCTAAAAAGTAAAAATCAAGTTCCCACAAACCTGAAGGAAGTTTTCCTTTCAACATAATATCAAACATTCTAGTAGAAATGTGTTTGGGTTGCATGACCTTTACATTTCCTACCAACCTTTAATAACCCATTGGTTTATAATCTCCTGAACAACATAAAAATAATTGAATTTAAATTTTAAAAAATTGTATTGTTTTCCTGTGTCTTAAAAAAGCAACTCACTGTATAAACATACTTTAGTCAACTTATTAATAGCACCAACATTTATACATTTTGTAATTTATTTCCCCTCCAAATGACACTGTCTTTATAAGACCTAAAGATAAAAGAAAAGGAGCATTCACTATGGACCACAACCATGCAAAGTAAGATATGAAATGCCTCATTTACTTTATCTAAATGCATCTTCATAATGACCCCACAAGGTACTATCCTTCCTCCCACCTTTTTTTCTTCTTTTTAAAATGAAGAAACTGAAGCTCACAGAACTCAAGGTCACACCACTAGGAAGTAGTAGAGTTGCAATAATTTTAACCTAGGTGTGATTCCAAAGCTCACATTTCTATGAGCTTGGCATTAGGGTTTCCCAGCATGGGGTGGGTTAAGAAGGTGATGATGAATAAACATCTTTCTATTCTGTATGCTTCACTAATTGGTTAGCCCTGTTAATCTCTTTTTTCTTTACTACAACTTAATAGGCATCTCTGTTAGAGAAGGGTTACCTAAGCATTCTCTTACAAAGCAAAGGATTAAGAAATTTGATACTCAAAGCAAGATTAGTTTGAGTTCTCTATAAGGAAAGAGACAAATTTACCATATTGGTCATCCAGAAATATCTAGTTCAACCTTGCCCATGTGATTAGCAGAGATCAAACACAGTCTTGCAAAATACACAGAACCCAGCAGACAACTCAAATATTTAGTGAAACGAATGCACATTAACTCATTTTCCTTATTAATATGTAATATAGTTAGGTTAAATTTTCACACATATGCAAGACTTAAAAAGGTGTATTAATAAGAAGCAGTTATTCCCTCAAATTCAACATGTGCACAAATAAAACTTATGTGCCATAGTTCCTTCCTATCCCTATTTGAATTAATGGCATCAATGTCTTTCTATACCCAAGGTCAAAACGCAGTCATCTTTGATTCTCTATTCCCCTTCTAATTCTATATTCATTCAGTTTCCAAGTCATTTTTACTCTTTAATCCCTTTGCTCAGTCTCACTCAATTCTGAGGGTTATTTCCCCCGCTAGATTAGTGTCCTCCTTACCTTTCTCACAGAGACAGAAATACCAATCCCCCCCCACACCAGAACCTAGAATCTGCCTTCATAATAATGCATCTGGCACACTGGGGCAAGATTCATAATCCCAAAGAGATATTAATTTTATAACTCCTAGCACAAATTTTTTCATGATTAAATTGCCTAGGATTCAACGTTCTAAAATCTGGCTACATCCAGACTCTTCCCAAAATCTTACCTCAATTACTCCATGTAAGTCACCTATGTCTCCAAGCTCACTGGTTCTGGTTGCTGTTCACCTTCTTCAGCTCCTTCCCTTTGCTGAACGTATCTCACCACCTGGAATGTTGTTCTTCCTTTCTGTTTTCCACATAAAACAGTCCTGCTCATCCTTTAAAACGGAGTTCAAAGACCACCCCTCCGCCAGTCCACACCTGGCCTCGAGCCTGGAAGTAATCACCTACTCCTCTGATTTCATATAACACTCTATTTGCACTTCTCTTTTGGAAATTGACACTTAGATTACTACAGTTATTTGTGTACATCTTATGTCTCCTACCAACTGCAAACATCTAATACATGCATACCTCTGTATCTCCCACAGCATCTAGACCAGATCTTGTACCTACTGTGGGTTCAAAAACAATTGATAAATGTCACACAAAGGCTTTTACCTCACATGAGAATATATCTCCCTCTGCATTGCTTAGGCAAACTTTGCATTTAAAGAAAACCAAATCGGGGGCACATGGCTGGCTCAGTCTGTAGAGCGTGCAACTCTTGATCTCAGGGTTGTAAGTTCAAGCCCCACACTAGGTGAAGAGATTACTTAAAAATAAAATCTTTAAAGTAAACCAAATCATATTTTTCAAGTATGACAAACCTAAGTTCCTTGAATTTTAGAACTGGAAAAACAGAGGATATGAGAAGAAAACGATATTCATTTATCAGTCAAGGCAGTTTAGGCAGAAAACATTTGTCAAGTTGTCAACCATCAGTCAACCCTACACAAAACACAAAACACACACACACACACACACACACACAGGCAGCACCCCTAGCATTTAACGAGAGGCCTTACTTTTCGGTAGACTATCATATTTGGAGAACTCTCCTCTGGGTCAGCGATCCCCACTGCTCTTTGATCCCCAGATCCCTGAGCCATCCCGGATATCTTCACTCACACTGCAAAAATAAATGAACAGATCATTAAGACATGAAGATATTATATAAAGAAAGCTCTACAATGCAAAGAAGTTAAGTATCTTTTGGCAGGTGATACAAAAATAAAACATGATGAATTTATTTCTCCTCATTAATTTAAGCAGTATTTTAAAAAATGTTTAGGGGATAACTGGGCTCTTGTTATCCACATACATTAGTCTAATCCCAAGCAACTTATTCTTTATTTTCAGCCCAGAATCATGCACCCTAGGGGTGAGTTTATGCCAGTCCTACATAATCTTCTGAAGACAGATGAAGCCAACCATCTTGATGTTGATTTCGTCTTACCAGACTCACTTTCTGATTAACTCTATGCATTAAAATCTGAATAGTTTAGTCACCATACAGTACATCATTAGTTTTTGATGTAGTCTTCCATGATTCATTGTTTTCATATAACACCCAGTTCTCCATGCAATATGTGCCCTGCTTAATACTGTACAGTGACTAACATAACAAAAAAATATCTGAATATTTTATCAGGGAAATGCAAATCAAAACCACAAGGAAATACCGCTTCATACCCACTAGGATGGTCATAGTAAAAAGGAAAAACCTGAAATAACAAGTGTTGGCAAGGATGTGGGGAAATCTGAACACCTGTACCTTGTTGGTAGGAATGTAAAATGGTTCAGTCGCTATGAAAAAACAGTTTGGTGGCTCCTCAAAAGTTAAACGTAGAATTACCATATTACCTGAAAATTCAACTATAACCCCAAAGAACTGAAAACAAACACTCAAACAAATACTTGAACACAAACATTCACAGCAGCACTATTCACAATTGCCAAAACATGGAAACAATTCAATGTCCATCAACTGATGAATGGATAAGCTAAATATGGTCTATCCCCACAATGGAATAAAATTCACCCAGGAAAAGTCATAAAGTATTGATACATGCTACAGTATAGATTTATCTTGAAAACATTACGCTTAATGAAAGAAGCCAGACACAAAGATCACTGCGATGGACTGAATGTTTATGTCCCCACCAAAATTCACATGTTGAAATTCTAACCCCCAGTGTGATGTACAGCCTACTGTACATCACAGCCTACTGTACCCCCAGTAGGAGGTACAGCCTTTGGGAGGTGATTAGTGCCCTTATAAAAGAGACCCCAGAGAGCTCCCTTCTACATGTGGGGACACAGTGAGAATAAAGCCATCCATGAACCAGAAACCAAATCTGCTCAAGCCTTGATCTTGGACTTCCTAGCCTCCAGAAATATGAGAAATAATAGGTCATTCCCAACCTTGCTGTTATTAACACAGTTTTCTAGGTGGGAGATAAGCCAGCCAATCTGTGATATTCTATTATAGCAGCCCGAACAGACTAACACAGTCACATACTGTGTGATTCCATTTACGTGAAATATCTAGAATAGGTAAATCTATAGAGACAGGAAGCAAATTGGTAGCTACCAATAACTGGGCGGAGGATGGAATGGGGTTACCGCTTAATGGATATGGGGTCTCCTCTGGGATAATGAAAACATTTTTGAACTAGATAGGGGTGATGGATGCAGAATGTTGTGTGAATGTGTTAAATGCCACTGAAATGTATGCTTTAAAGAAGTTAATTTTATGTTATGTGAATTTAACCTCAATTAAGTAAAATGAATATTTTTAATTTGACCTTTTTAAAAAGTGTGAAAAGATATCAGTGTAACAGTGACAGCATATGGAATTTTTGAGAAAAGAAGTTCAGTGCTTGGTATCACCCTATATTTGCTGTGCTACTTCGTACAAGTTAAATAACCTATTGGGTTCTCTTTGTTAACTTTCTTTTAAAACAAAATGTTGAATGCCTGCTGTGTACCCAGAACCATGCCAAGGCACCTCCCTTGACATTGCTCTCATCAGCAAAATGTGAATTCCACGGAGTACTCACAGGGACGGGTCCGATAAACTGAGTATAAACGTATCATATAAAGCCAAAGAAGTCCTATACAAATGTTACCACTAAGCTAAGAGCCTGCCTGGGTTATTTGCACAAAATTCATAGGCTTTTCAACAAGGAAACTTTTATAAATACCATAGTTGACAGAAAAGGCCATTTCAATTCAAAATAAAAACTCAGGAAAGATTTTATTGTAAAATAAGTTGGTACCAAAGGTCATTCCATAAAAGCCAATTTGGGTGGGAGATGGGCAAGAGACAGGAATTTGTCATTTGTGCTAAGAATTTAAATGCCCACAGTATACCATTTGAATGTTGCTTGCTTTCTTCATCATTTGTGAATTAAGATGCATTTTAAAAGTCAGATTACATGAAGAGATAAAGAACATCATTCTCTTATCCCCACTCACTGTAATGTCAGGGTTTCCATTAATATAGTGCTACATGGAAACGCTGATTATTAATTCCCATCAGTGGCTTTTAAAGTTAAATGAACAACACACTGTTTTATTTTTAAACAGCTACTTATTTGCCTACTCCTTTGCCTGAATACAGAATATGACAGAGCATGAAAAACAAAAATTGAGTCCATTTATGTCTGCTCATTTATCTATGTAATAGAGCCATTTGGGGTTTCTGGCTTTATTTGTAAATGAACACTCGGACTTTAATGAGCCTATTATCTCCCACCTAGAAAACTGTGTTAATAACAGCAAGGTTGGGAATGACCTAGGAACAATCCTTCCGGCCCTGCCTTGGCCTTTCGCTGGCTGCCCCCTGCCCCCTACAGAAACATTTCTGGTGTTACAACAGGCTGAGAGTTCAGGACTGGGACTTCAAACTACCAAGTGCTGGCAGACAGTCTCTGTGGTAGGAATTTCAGTGAGTCTCGTATGTAGTAGAAAAGCTTCTATTTTTGGTTCCTCTAGCAGCTCATTTTGAAACTCAATGTCATCTAACTTTTCTGTGTCTAGAAAGAACCATTTCTAAAATAGTGACCTAACCACTTTCCAGCCCATGTGTCAACAGTTGTTACAGAAACAGGGTGCAAAACCCACACAGGTAAGGAGGCTATAATTACATTCATTGACTATGAAGCTAGGGTTTGTGACATTAAAGGGCTAGATTCTCATTCATTACAATACAGGATGAAATATTTATTTTTACATGGAATACGATAGAAATGAAATAGGAATATCTTAAATTTCATGGTAGCGAAAACCCAAAAACTTCTTCATGTTATTTATATGTACTGTGTGTATATGCACACAGTAAATAATTCAGGGCCTTTTATCTTAATATTTGAAGAATGTGAATGTTTTCCTGAAAGCACACCACTAGACTTCAACAGAAAGAAAATACATCATGTCTTACAGCTAACAAAGGGGAGAACTGAAAACATGTTAAGAGCTTGAGTTTTTAAGTCCCCAAGAAGAGACAGGTAGCTCAGGGGTTACCAGCTGGCATCTGTCATCAGACAGATCCACATCTGAATTTACGCTCCCCCACTTACAAGCAGTGTGATCTGGGGCAAGTTACTTCACCTCTCTGTGCCTTTGCTTCCTTAGCTGTCACCAGAGTCCCCACATAGTGGAAAGCCTTCTGAACTGAGTGGCCTGGTTCCCCCACCTGATTTGCAATTAAGTGTCAGAACCAGGTCAAGCCACAGCCTCTCTGGACTGCAGGTGGACAACAGCTGTAAAAGCCTGCATCTTCACTATTCCTTCCCGCTCGGTCCTAGAGCCTCAGAACTTCACATTTCTAACTTTCCCTCAAACGCTCATCAGAATGTTCCATACCACCTCTCTTCACTCAATACTGCCCATATCCTAGCCCGTGTTCTCTGGTCATGGCAGGGCTCATGCTGAACTTGTCAGAGAATCACAGAACTGTTGGAGCAGAGCGTCCTCTCCCAGACTCAGCATCCCTCCCCTTGAAGTGATTTCTGTAATACCATCACCTACCACAAGGAGCGGTGGGACTCAACATTTCCTCGAGCAAACGCACTGAGCATCTGCGCAAAAGGCTGCATGCTAGGCCCTGGAGACATAAAGATAAATCAGACACAGATGTTCTCATTAAAGTGTTCCGAGTCCAGGAGGGGGTTCAGGCATGTCCACAGAAGCAGGACATCTTAACGTGTGGGTGTTTAGCTATGCTGGCACAGGGCAAAACCTGGCAATGGAGATCAGAGGAGAAGGATGAATAGGAGTCTGGGGGAGGCAGCAGAGGCCATTCCAGCCTAGGGGACAACATAGGCATGGCCCTTTGAAACCCCAGCAGCAGTAGGCACCCAAGAGAAAAAAAACATGAAGACAATCTGATCTCAAGAAGATTAAGTGGAACAGTCAAATGTGGGGTTAGAAATAACAGGGCTTTGCACCTCTCTTTGTTTACTCATTTATCAGGGATCTCTACTAAAGGCAGTTCTGCTTGGGTGGAGTCTTTGTTGGTGGGGTTCACCCCTCTATACCCAGCACCTAGAACAGGGCATGACACATAGTAGATACTCAAATATTTTTGAATGAATGAAGAAACTGATAAGATTCTACCAAGATGCAGTGTACTCCTTTTGGAACATTCATCGGGATAACAAGCCATTAAAACTGCCCCACCAAGGCGGCTCTTTATTGACAAAGACCTATGTACGAAATCACACTTTTCCACAGGGTTTATTGGTATGGGTCAGCCCTGAACTCAGGAATCCACGAGCTATTTATTTACTTATTTGAGAGAGAGAGAGAGTGCGCGCACTGGCCCAAGTGGGGGGTAGGGGCAGAGGGAGAGGGAGAGAGAGAATCTTAAGCAGGCTGCACACCCAGCACGGAGCTGACATGGGGCTCGATCTCACAACTCTGAGATCATAACCTGAGCCGGAATCAAGAGTCGGACACTTAACCGACTGAGCCACCCAGGCACTCCATCCATGAGCCATGTAGATAAGAAGGAATATGTGGGAGGATGGAAAGTATAGTGAGGAGAGACCCTGTGAATAACAGAACAATTGAGCGTCTCTGACTCAAACTCTGATTAGTAAATCTTCTGCAAATCAGGACTGC